GCCTCGTGATGGGTTGGTCTTTTCCTTCTTGCATGTTCATTCTTGCAATTTTTTAATTACAATTTTATCCTTTCCCCTAACTTTTCTTTGTTGAATCAGGTTTTATCTTTTTAAAATTGCAAGCATGATTGCTGCTAAAGTTGTAATGTTTCTTCCTCGAAATGTTAATTTGGCCCAATTGGTGGAGCTTTCTCTGTTAGCTGATCCTCCATGGAACCTGGAGGTACTTTGTTCTGATTTTTTCCTTGTTAATTTTGCTCCTTCATGATGACTGGTATTATAGCATCTCCCAGAATACAGACACAGAGACCTTGCTTTTAGCTGCAGTTTTTATTTTATTTTTTAATCTTTGCCATCTTTTCTGTGATAATTCATGTAAAAACATTAGGAAGGCCTGTTAAAATCCCTTCATTACATATTTTTTAAAGCTTAATCGTGCTCTTTGCTTGCAGGTCGAGAATAATTATTTAAATGGAAAGCTGAAATCAATCACGGCTTACTTCGATAAGACTACTACAGATTAAGGTTTCATTTGGGTAGGATTTTTTACTGCTTTTAAAGTAGTTTTTAGCATAAAAATTTTAATTTTTTTACTATAAAGTTGCTTTAAGAAGCAGTAAGAAATCCGTCCCAAACAAAACCTAAATTATAACAATTTTTTTGTAAATTTTATCTACCGGGCAATTTTATGTGTGAAACGTAGTTCTCTTTTGGCTTGTATTTATTAAAAGGCATGCTTACAAGCACAGTAGACATTGCCGATTTGTTTATGTATATAGTGTGACATTGATTTATGTAATGTAATCATGTAAGAAATATTGCATACATTTCAAAATTTATATCTTTTACATCATAAAGTTTGTTTGTTTATTTTAAAATTCATGCTGATAAAACAATTTATCAAAATATGGTGCAATTTTTTTTTAACCTTTATAAATTCTTCTACTTAATGTGTACCCCAATGCATGGATTTGAGTGAGTTATGGAGCTCCATTGGCTTGTATTTCTTAGGTGTTTCATCTTCTTTAGCTTTTGTAACTCAATTAGATTTCATTGCTTTCACAACTCACCTACTCACCTCTTTTTTTCTTAGGCTTCGTTTGGGACAACTTTTTTCCTGCTTCTTAAAGCCGCTTTCTAGTACATAAATTTTAATTTTTGTACTAGAAAGCCACTTTAAGAAGCAGGAAGAAAACTGTCCCAAACAATGCCTTAGTCTAAAATTGCATGACTAGTCTTACAAGCAGGGTCAAGGCTTCTATAGCCTTTGGATTCTTTTTTTTTTTTTTCTTAAAGATGTGGTGAGTGTGAATCAATGTCAGTAACTAAAAATCTGTGAGGCGAAGAAATTGAAAATATCCAAGAGTTGAGGTTTTACAGCTAACAGAAACCCACCCTTAGTATTCTAAATTCACCATTAGAATTCTATATATATTGTTTGATTGTATTTTAATAATTCTTAATTAATTAAAGTTTGTATCAGTTTTTGATATATCATCAAAAATTATCTTCATTTGGCATGAATATCAAGGAAAATTTTAAATTGGAAACTTCTGAAATTAGATTTGAGATCATTCGAACTTTAAGCTCAGTAAACTTATAGTCGGATTGAACGTCCCAAAAAGACAAACCTAATGACACCTAATTCGACTCAATCCGATCCCAAATAAATTCAAATCAAGGGCACAAAGTATATTTATAGGGTTGAAGGCATAAATTGAATAAACAAATGACATCCAAATGTGACATTCTTATAGTAGAATCGAGTGGCTCTACGAGATGAATCCAAAGAGTCCAAGATCGTCAAATTCTAATATCATTAAGACACTTCAATACTTGATAAATGACCCATAATCAAGAGAGTCGATATTGGCAGTCCATTCGAAATGCTCCCAATATGCCTTTGATATTCTTCCTATTTACTATCCACGCAACTCCTAAAAAATTGTAAATAAACTCCTCATTTTTCACGGAGTGGGAGGAAAACAAGAAGAAAATATGGAAGATGTATTTGAGAACTCTCTTGCCACTAAGCACCTCCTCGACCACCGCCCAACCACCAGCCATTGTCGAACTTTTGCCTAGACACCAGTCATTGCCAGAATTTCGCCCAGCCATAAGTCATTGCCGGACTTTCGTTGGACTTCCACTCAGCCACTAACTTCCACTAGGTTTATGTTAGACCACCGATTATTGTCGAACTTCTGCTCGATCACTTGCCGTCATCCAATATTTTCCTGACCATCGATCATCGCTAGACTTCTACCTGGACACCAACGTCGCCTGCCGGCTACGATCTTTCCGACCGCCCGCCTATTATGATCTTTCTAACCTCCATCACCCACTGACTATGATCTTTCTGACCTGCGTCGCCCGCCGACTAAGCTCTCTTTGATTAACATCTACATATTATAATATTTTCAACATATGTCGTCAGTCGACTATGATTCTTCCTACTAACATCACCCAACTACGGTCTTTCTAACCTTCGTCGCCACCCAACAACGATCCTTTCGATCACCATCATCCGATTACAATCATTCTGACCTCTGTCATCCAACTACAATCCTTTCGACCTACATGGTTTGTCGCCTATAGTCCTACCGACCAAATGAACATGTCAATAATGATTCTTCAAACTCACACCATGTAATGAACTCTATATAATGTATATATGCTACATCGAGCCAAGGCCATCCCCCTAAGGGAGGGCCTCATTTGTAATCAACTACAAACATTAAGGGATTCATTTAAATTGTGTTAGGCCCCATAAATTTTTCCCCTTTGAACATTGTTAAATTCAAAATTGAATGTGGAAAATATATGAATCTTACTTGAAAAATTAGCAAGTACTCAATGAAAAGGGCACGAATACAAAAATAAAGAAGTTGAGAAGAGAGAAAAAAAAAACCGGAGCACTTACAATTTCCCTTATTAACATAAAATACTCAAAGAACTTCCTGTAGAAATTATTGTATACATCTCTAAAAATGACATTTTGACCCCATAGTAATATATTATAGGAGAAGCTACACTTAAAAATAAATAAATAATATATTATGTGATAGTTGGAGATGAGTGGATAGAACTCTTACTGTTAAATGTGAATAGCTTCTTCTGGTGAGTATTCAGGACACTTTTTGATAGTGCCTGGGACGGACCATCGACAGAATGGGTGTGATGGCCATTACTTAATAATATATGTTTATATCTCTTGTAGGCATGCGAGTAGCTTTGTATTTTTGAGGACAGTGATTCTCTAGTCTAGGACAAGTCCTCTAATTGAGGAAAAATTATTACATCCGGTGAAAATACTGAGCATACCGAGTGTACCGAGCACGCTGTACCGAGCACTTTAGTGACGTGGCGTTTTGTTATTGGTTTCCGGATGCATTCGATAACATGACGGAATAATTACTCATAATTGAGGTGAGTGACAACTTTATAGTCTTGGATGAGTTCTTTTCCAACTAAGAAGAGTGACCTTTGGTTGAGGTGAGTAACTCCATAGTCTATGAGGATTGCCTTTCTAGCAAAGATAAGTGACTCTCTATTTCAGACGAGTTACTTCATGATTTAGGTTGAGTGTCTTTCTAATTGAGGCGAGTGACTCTAGGCCGGCGTCTTTAAACCCTTCTTTTGATCTACCGGTTTTACTCACTCCATCTAAATCCAATTATTAAGGTATACATTTAGATCATTTATTCTATTTCCACTTTGAAGAGTGAATAATAATAATAAAAAAAAAGAATAAGAGAAAAAAAAAGAAAAACTTTAATTATTTTAACCAAACAAAAGGGAGAAAATGATAGTTTTAACTATTCTATTTTATTCTCTCATTAAGAATGATGCCCCATTTATAATATCAATTTGACCATGAGGGCTCCACCTTGAAACCATTACCCACTTCAATTTGGCTATATAAGTCCCACCCATCAGAGATGGTCTAGTCTCCTACTCAAAGGGTTACGAACATCGATAATCACAAATTGCATTGATGGCTCATTCAAAAGCTTTAGATGACCTAAGTGAATGTGAAGGACAAATATTGAGTTTTTTTGTCAAGGCGAACAAGAGAAACTTAGTGAAAGGCAGCACGATTAGAGTAAGAGCAAACTTAGAATTGGACTACGATCATAAGCCTCTTGCCACCATATTCTCAAATCCTCATGTGCCTGGTCCCCTATGCCAAGTCTTGTAATAAACTTAGGCTTCGTTTGAGACGATTTTCTTACTGCTTCTTAAAGTAGCTTTTTAGTAAAAAAATTTAAAATTTTGTACTAGAAAGTTGCTTTAAGAAGCAATAAGAAAGCCGTCCCAAACGAAACCTCAGAGGATCCATATCATGTAAGTCCTGCCTTAAATGATATGTGAAAACATGACTAGGATGGGTTAATATCTGAGGTTTTATTTTACCTGTAGGAGAATCCAGTGAATGTCATAGATCTCCAATCAGAGATAGTCAAATAACAAGAAGTTATCGATGCTTCATAGAGAGTTTCCTTAGAGAACTTTATATCATCTTTTGTCGAACTATGATGCAATTGATTCACTTTATTTGTCTTCAAAGTCAAAGGTCACAGTGCTTACGAGTTTAGTCTATAATTCTTGTCAATGGGTTAAAGATTTACAATAATTGCTTGTCGAGGCCGCTCTTTGTTTTTTGAACATAGAATTTCAACTTACTATCTTCTCATTTAATACAACAAATGTGGCTATGGCAAGTTGAATATTTATTGGCTTTTGTGCTAGAACAGATGTGCACCCTTGAGGATCAAATTGCTAATGCTTGAGCCAGTGTTAAGGAGGATAAGAAAATCTTACTATCTTAGAGGAGAAAGAAAATTTCTATGCGAGCTCATGAGAGGTCAACCGGGGGCCCGAACCACATTTGGAAGGGTTAAAGCATTATTTGGATA